AACTGAAACAGCCTTGCAGCTGGAGCCAAATGTTCTGCTTCTGCCCCGTCCTCAGAATCCGTCTGATTCCAGAGAAAACTTGTTGGTGAGTTGCTCAGCTGTGAACTTCGAATGTGGACGATGAAACGGTCTCTGGTGGGCGCCCATCCGTCATCCATTTGCGGTTCTGCAATCTGCTGGCTGCCTCCTTCACTTCCTAAACTTGTTTCGCTTCAGTCCAGTTTTGTTCCTAACAAAAGGAAAACAATGGAAATGGAAGGGGGGAAAAAACCCCTTTTAATAAAAAATTTTTGCTTTAAATTGAACCATAGAAAAATAACCATATTGAGAGGGACATTTTTATCCAGCACAGAAATGCGCTTCAAAAAGGACTAATAGAATTCTTTTGTCTCGTGCCTCAAGTTAATTATACAGAGAATTGCTTGAGATAAAGAGAAAATACTTCTGCAGCACATTTCAGGCATATTATGGCAGCGTAAATGTTTGCCGGCAGCCCAAATTAAGTTCTCTGTTCTAACCTTTGAAAATTGTGTTCTGATGTGATGTTTCTCTCCACCCAAAAATGTTTTCACGATATTAGACATGTCCAATTCATTCAGCGCTACGGCAGTGTTTATCCTGTGAGCAAGCACGTCTGATTTTGTCCAGCTCTTCCTTTTGGGTTAGAGGCCTCTCCGGTGTGGTCAGCCAGCTCCACAAAGAAGGTTTCTTGCAGGCATTCCCTTCTGGAAGAAACGCAGAACCATTACCACGATGACCCAACATCGTGTTAAGGATGGACTTGAAAAATATGCCTTGGGCGCGTCAGTTATTGTTGGAACCAAAAACTAGTAGCATAGTCTTGTATTTATTTCAGCTTCCTCTTGGGGGATATTGGGCTCTCGGGTTATGTATTAGGCAGGTGTTGCAATAATAAGCTTAGCAAAAGGTGCCTAAGAAAAAGGGCCCTTTTGGGGTAAGTCCAAAATAAACATTAAAAAAAAGATAATTATTATACCACATTCTCAGTGAAGAGGCCAAATTGTTAACAGATAGTAAAGGAAAGGCAGAACTATTCAGCTTCTAATTTAACGAAGTAACAGAGTAGGAAGGGATCTTGAAGGTCTTCTAGTCCAGCCCCGTTCAAGCAGGAGAACCTCTACTATTTCAGATAAGTGACCATCTAGACTCTTCTTAAAAACCTCCAGTGATGGAGCACCAGTGATGATTTACAGTGGCAAGCTGTTCCACCGGTTAATTATCCTCACTGTTCGGAACTTCCTCCTTAATCCCAGGTTGCTTCTCTCTTTGATTAGTTTCCATCCGTTGCTTCTTGTCTTGCCTTCTGGTGCTTTGGAGAATAGGTTAACCCCCTCTTCTTTGTAGTAGCCCCTCAAATATTGGAGCACTGCTATCATGTCGCCTGCTAGAACCCAGACCAACACTTATTTAATTTTTATTGTTCTGAAACAGTGCTGTAAATCGAGCACCAAAGAAGAGATTTTGTAACTCGTGAAATAGAAGTACAAAAAGTTACACTCTCATGACTTTTGGTGATTAATGAAGTATTCTTCATGAAGTACTAAATAAGCACTAAATTTTTGTAACGGTGTTTAGTAGAGTGATATACACAACTGATGTTCACCAGATCATCCTAAGAGATCTAAAAAAAAAAAAAAGTTTGGATTAGAAGGGAAAAAATGTGACTTCAATTATTCAGATTTTTCTATCAATAAGAAATAGGATTTCTCATACACACAGAGAGAGAGACACACACACAGACACACACATATACTAGCACTATACTCGTGCTTCGCTACGAAACTATGTGGTCGGGCTTAGTTTTGGGGGAGGAAAATGGGGTGGGTGGGTGGAATTCTGCCTCTGCCTACCAGCATCCATCGCTATTCATCTGGTTAGCGTCCTGTCAGTGTGTGAGAGAGTTGAGGGCTGTTTGGAGACTGAAACAGTATTTGCTGTGTGAGCAAGAAGCAGACAGCAAGGAGCCTGGGCATGGCTTAGCTCAACTGTTCTGTACTAAAACTGCCTGGTGCTGTGAAGCTAAAACTGAAGCTCCTCTGCTTGTGTTTAGCATTTGGAAGAGATTGGGGGGGAAGAGGAGGAGGGGGAGTCAAACTCCTTAGCATCAGAGCATGTTAATAATAATATAGGAAATACTCTAAATGCTCTGGTGGTCCTTTCGAAAAATCCTTGCTTAGGGAGCACCTAGAAGCCAAGAGGAACATACATGCCAAACACACACACACACACACACACACACACACACACACTAACTAAACTAACTAACGGGCAAAGATGACTTTTTAAAAAATGTGACTAATGCACAATGGGTTTCCTAAAACGTTCATTATCTTCTAAATTACAAGAATTGCTGACGGAGCCCAATAGTATATTCCATACTCCTAAAAACCATGACACCTGAACCTGTACCAGTCTTCTTTGGGTGGCTAGGATCAAATCATGTTTTGTCGCCTCAAAAAACTTCCTAGACGCAAGTGGTCCGTTCAATCAACAGGTGAGCCGCTGAAAGAGGAAAGGTGTTTTCTCTTTATTTAGGCACCAACGCAGAAGATTGTGAAAGGGGTGACCGTCTACAACCTCCCCATTGCTCCATCCTCCTCCTATTTGAGCCACGTTCACTCTGTCCTGCCTATTACCGAGAAGGACGGAGAGAAAGGTCAGTCCCGGCCACGTCGGTTCTGCTGGGCCCATTTGCTGCCTTTGCCTTGGCAAAGAACGACACGTTGTACCCTTGGTCGGCCGCTAGTTGTACACAGAACGTAGAATAATAGGGTGGGAAGGGGCCTTAGAGGTCTTCTAGTCCAGGCGTCTCCAACCTTGGCAACTTTAAAGCCGGGTGGACTTCAACGCCCAGAATTCCCCAGCTAGCGTTGCTGGCCTCCCAAAAGTTTGGGAAGGCTGGAAATGGACCCCTTTCCGGCTTCCAGGGAGTCTCCAGAGCCCAGAGAGACTGTTTTCGCCCTCCCAGGGGTTCGAGTAAAGCCTCTGGAGGCTGGGGGGGGGGGGGCAAAAACGCCCCTCCCCATCATGGTGCAGGAGGCCAACCAGGCCATAGCCGCCCACCAACCAGGCAGAGAACCCATTGCTAAAAATTTTTTGAAGCCCACCCACCCCTGCAGGGGTGGGATTCAATTTATTTTACTACCAGTTCTGTGGGCGTGGCAGGGGGAAGGATACTGCAAAATCCCCCTTCCTTCCCCACCCCACTAACCTGCTTTCCAGCTCCGTTCTCCTGGGCAGGGCAACCCAAGGAGACCCAGCCGATCAGCTGGGACTCGATGGGAGGAGAGAATAGATGCGGGAGGGACCAGTCAGATGGTGGGATTGGCCGGTTCTCCAAACTACTCAAAATTTCCGCTATCAGTTCTCCAGAACTGGTCAGAACCGGCTGAATCCCACCTCTGCACCCCTGGTTTGGAAGTCAAAAAAAATAAAATTAAATTAAATAATTACACCTCCCAGGTAAGTCGTCTTTGAAATAATCTGTGACGCTTATTCCCTTCCTAGGCATCCTAAATCTAATTGAAAGAGGGCTGATCCCACGGGCTGCTAGGATTACTCTAAAGAAGCCGCCCATTCTGCCAAAACCTGTCCTTCTCCATGAATTTCAGGCCAAGCACAAGAAGGTGGACGCAGGTAGGTTCAGCCGAGCGGGAGTCTCCCGCGGTTGAAAGGCGGGCATCCACTCTCGTTGGATCAGGCGCTAAGGCTCCTTTGTTATCCTCGGGGACTTCATACTTGAAAGCACAAAAAGGGATTGCCGGAAGAAATATCCCTCTGGGTTCGGTTCCAAGTGGGGAAGGAAAGACGTTAGAAACATGGAGGCGGTTAGGAAAGATGGCTTAATGGTGGGCAGGACCCCGTGGCTTAGAGCTCCGAAGCGAAACGGACGATCACACGCTTCCGGATGTTGGGTGAAGGGAAAGAAGAGCAGAGATGCTGAGAGACCCCTTGGTTTTATACCCTCTGTTGGGTCTCACCTGAGTGTTTCCTGTTCCTGTGCAAGAAATGCATCCCATTGGCTGCCAGGCTCCCCGGGGCGGGGTCTTCGCTAACTTTGTAGGCTTTGTCTGGACCCACATGGCTTCACCCGAGGGCTGGCTGACGCAATCTTGCCAGGCCAGGGGGGGTGAGGTGGGTAGAGGCCTTTGTTATGTAGAATACTCTGCCCTAGATCTTAATGGCCCGCCCATTAACAAAGGTGGGGGTGAGCTTCTGCCTCTCCGAGTTTCTACTTGCTTTTGAGGGGAAATATTCTGCCTTTTTAATATTTCCAAGGATATTTCATTTTTCTGGGAGGGGTGTGTGTGCCAACTTCCTACAGGATCAAGAAGAAGAAATAGGAATCTTCTGTTTCTTCCGGCTTGAAATCCCAGGTGTTTCCTCAGCAGTGCCTCTGTTAAGAGAATAACCGAGTTTTGGGAGGGATCTTGAAGGCCTTCTAGTCCAACCCCCCCTGCTGAAGCAGGACTCCTATCCCACTCCAGACAAGTAGCTCTCCAGTTTCTTCTTAAGAGCCTCCAGCGATGGAAGCACCCACCCAATTTCTGAAGGCAAAGCTGTTCCACTGGTTAATTATTCTGTTAGGAGGCTCCTCCATAATTCCAGACTGCTTCTCACTTGGATTAGTTTCCATCTGTGGCTTCTTTCTTTGCCTTCTGATGCTTTGGAAAAACGATTGGACCCCCCTTGTCTTCGCAGGAGCCCCTCCAATATTGGAACCCTGCTATCGTGTTTTCTTAGGGGGTCCATCGCTAACCTGCTGGTTGGCCATGATTGTGGGTTTGTCTGTTGCTTAATGTAGGGCAAGAAAACCGACCGGGTCTCAGTTCAGCGTGGCTTCTGGGGTGGGGCAAAGGATGTGTCTGAGGAATTTGAGCCCCCTGGGCCTTTTCAAAGCCCCCTTACCTGTGCCATAGACCGGGCTCGGCGGAGCCAGAAGGCAGAAGCGGCTCCCGTCCCCGCTCAGAAGGCCACCCAGGTCTCTGAGGGCGCCGCGGAAGGCGGAAAGGAGAAGAAAGGAGCCAAGGGCAGCATTGCCCCCCCTCCGTCCTGCATCTCCGTCATGTCCTCCAAGAAGCTCAAACAGCAGCAGCTCCTTCAAGCGATGAGACTGAGGGAGTCGGCCGCCTCTTCGGCTTGCTTAGCCAAGGTACGTGAGGAAGGCCTGGAGAGTCTCGGGCACGCGTTGGTTTTTTTTTCAAGAGGCAGCTGGACTTTCTGGTTGTTGTTTTTTTCTTTCTTTGAAGACGTTTTGCTTCTCCTCCAAGAAGCTTCTTCAGCTCTGACTGCATGGTGGGGAAGGGAAGCATTGATACTCCTTGCAGGCAGCTGGTCATTTGCATCCTTTTAGAATGGAATTGGAATTGGAATTGGAATTAGAATTAGAATTAGAATTAGAATTAGAATTAGAATAGAATAGAATAGAATAGAATAGAATAGAATAGAATAGAATAGAATAATAATAGAATAGTAGAATAGAATAGAATAGAATAGAATAGAATAGAATAGAATAGAATAGAATAGAATAGAATAATAATAGAATAGAATAGAATAGAATAATAATAGAATAGTAGAATAGAAT